ATGTGCCTGCCAGAGTGAGACTGAAGTATGAACTGTTCTATAGCCACATTTTATTTTGGTGTAAAGAATAAGGAAGTTTCTTTAAACATCTTGGGTGAACTCTTCCAAGTCTTCATTTCCTTAAGCAGATAGTTACAGTCACTATAGTGGTATAAGATATGTCTCAAATGCCTGCACATGTATTTCCTGGAAAGTTAACATGGTTGTTGTCTTCAGTATTTCACTGTATTTGAATTTTACCCATAGATATTTGCTACAGTTGATGGTCTATCACCAATTTTGCTGACTGGTGGTTCATTCCAGTTTTTCTCATAAAGAATCTGTGACAGTAGCATCAGATAATTTTAAAATGGTAGTACAGAACAATCAAATAATCATAATTTAATTTGCAATTTGTTTTAACACCACCATTCTGTGGTAGGATATGTGGAAACTTTAAAGAGTTTTGGGTGTGAGAAACTACTGGGAACACTTACCTAATATTTCAGATGTAATTTCTGTAGTATATAAGCACTGAGTGTGTACACAGAATCTCACTGAACCCGATAAAATTAATCTCCATTGATTTCGACATATTAATTAGCTAGTCCCTGTAGCTAGCTACTTAAAACATAACAAAGTAATTACACAAGTTGAAGCTCAAAGCTAAAGTCCAAAGAAAAAAATGCTGTTAGTTGCTACCTGACCCTGAAAACACCTAAGCATCTCTAACTTTTGGCTTCAGCCTCTGGTGCGTTATTTTAGACCTCAAGAGATTACACCTGTAAACAATAATTTTCTCTAAAAGTAAAAATAAAAATGCAGAAATCAGACATATTTGGCAACACTGACAAATGAAAATACAAACTGATATAAAATAATTACAAACTATTATAAATAAGGATAGTTAATGTACAGTATTTGCAAATTGCTATCCAAATGGTTCTTGTTATGTGCATTTCTATGATATGCTACTGCAACATGACAAAAATCTGACTTATTTTACTCTACAGTATTCATTTCTGTCCCACATGTAGAGATAGGTTACTTGCAAACCATAGTTAGTTTTGGCACATAAAATACTCAAGCAAACAAAGATTCCTGGAATTAGAAAGAAAACTTCCAGTAAAACAAAGATTGAACTCTCAAAAGTCCAAATGATACCTAAACTAAACATGACTAATCTTCAGAGATTATATGTCACTACCTTTACTTTTTGGTTTTCAAGTGCAACGGTAATAGAGTGTTTAGAATCACACTTCTGTTCTCCATAAGTTTGTAATAAATTTTTTTATACTACTTTTAGCAGACCCATGGTTTGGGTTTCTGTGGGTTTTTTTAGTAATATTAAATCTCCTCTCCCTTAAACCAATTTTGTTTTGTTGTAACTGCTCAGATCCACTATGAAAACACAGCCTTGCTAAATTTACAGGAAACCTAAAATTGGTATAGAAAGTGCTGACTTGAGCCCTATGTTTTAATTAGGCATTTTCTTCTCCACAAGAACAAGTTGGTGTGATCACTGCCTTTGCTGAACATTCCTTTCATCCTGCAGGAAATCATTATGTTTGTTCAGGGATGACCAAGTAAATTACTGTTTCTTCATGGGATGAAAGAGGGGAAAGCAAACAAGCACAAGGAGATAAAAATACCACTGTAAAATATCAAAACAGCCAAAAGATGAAGTCTAAGTTACTGCATATTTCATTATGTCAGGAAATATGAGAAAGCAGACAAGAACATATGCTGTCTGTATTGTTACATGCTGTAGTTACGCATCTTTTTAAAACAATGCTTAACACTTATTTACAAGAAAAAAAGAAGCTGATACTACAAATCTTATAAAGAATTAGGTTATATTGAAAGATGTCTGTAAGTTGTGGGGAATGGAGGAACTAATCCATGTAGCTTCATTGACAGCCAATAAATTTCCACTGCACTCTATGCAGTGTAATCAGGTAGTCCAAATACATAGCAACATGCTATAGATGCTGAGTAATGTTTCTTTAGAGGCACTTGTGGTGAGATTAAAGTAAAATATTCTCAGGGGAGGACTAAAAGAGAGAATTTAGTAATTAGACTCCGATAAAGTCTCTTGAAAGTCACGTTTTTCTGCAGTTTTGTGATCTCTGGCTATAGTGAAAAAAAAACCAAAAGGCAAAGCAGCAAAACATCCAGTAAAATTAAGACTTGGTAACCTAATTTTAGATTTGTCATTCCGTTGTTTTCATAGTTAGGGCTTCAAGTGCAATTTGGTAGAACTGCAAATGAGGTGCAAGTAGTTCTGAGGAAAGAAATTAATTTATTCAACAAGTTGTTAGAAGAGCTGAATTTCTGCTTCAGCAAAGAAGAAATAGCTCCCATGTCTTACTGACTTTAATATTGTTAACTAAATGTGAGAAGCTCTGGCTCATGCCCAATGAGTTCAACGAGAAACAGCTTGAATCCACAACATTTTGGATCAGGCACAAAATTATTTTGATGGCTTCAAGGAATAGAAATATATAGGACTATAAGGAAGTACAGCTGATAAAATGAAATCTTGGTCTCACTAAATTTAATGAGAATTTTACTGTTCACTTAGAAGAAGCTGAAATAGTTCACGATATATTAACTTATTTCCGTTAAGCTAAAGTGTGATTGGGTGGGCTGGCTATGGAAAGTTCTTGAAGAAGAATAATAATAAAGAAAATACCTCCTTCATCAAGAGTTGTTTTCCTACCAGCAAGCGATTAAATTTTTTTTAAGGTTTTACAAAAAGAACAAAAAGTGAAGAAACAGTTCTCATTCCTTGAAAATGTAAAAAATCCCTAGGGTACCAAATTTTTTTTACATTTTAATCCGTCTTGTCAGACACAAAGGGTAAAATTGACCCTTTTGCATATACAAACACCAAGCACTTTCACAGGCATCAGCATCAGATAAAATGCATTTCTACCAAAGGAGCATACATTATATTTCAATACAAATCCTTCTGCTGATATTTAACATACTTAGTGGAGTGGTGTAATAGTCCTGTTATGTGGGAGCCACATCACTGGCTCAGTGTAATTGCTGCTTTCCTGGCCCTTGTGACCTTCATTCCTGAAGTCAAGGTTACATGCTTGAGAGATGTACCCACAAAAGACAGCTAAAGAAGAAAATGCACCAAGGTGATCAGGAATAATAACAATGAAGAATTAAAAATCCATCACCACTGTGCTTTTAAAATTACATATAGCTTATGTGAATAATGATATTAAAATAGCTTCTTTTTCCATACTTGGATGCCTTTGCAGTATACTCCATTGTTTCAAATGAACACTGGAAAAGGATTTAGTTGGAATACAGTCTTGTCTGAGACCAAAAGAAATCTTCATTAGGATAATTCCTTACAGTCCTTCTGTTAATATTTTCAGGGACAAAAATATAATTATCCTTTTTGACAAAAAAAAAAAAAAAAAAGAAAAACTGGGAACATAGTGCAATGATGGAAGATCTAGATTACAACTCCAGTGAAAAATGTGGGACAAATTGGATAGGAATATAAAAGTATCGGTTCTGACTGAAGTATGAAACTTATGCAAACAACGGGGGAAAAAAACCCCACCCTTTTTAGAACATTTTGAGATGTGTGAAAACTACAAATGCTAGAACTGTGAAAAGGAAACTGGGAATTTGATCCATATGTTCTGGAAATGCCACTGCCCACAGCTAAATTATTTTTGGAGAACAGAACAGAGAGCAGAAGAACAACTGCTAAAGCTGTTATAAACACAGGGTCTCCCTGGTGATGCAAAGATCTTACCATGGCAGATATTAACGAGTGACTATTACCATCTGGATACCATATATGAAAAAAATCATCTTTGGTATGTTCTAGAATAATTACTAAGGACTACAATATTATTTATCAATTATCTCACTAATTCTCTGAGGACAAATCATTCTGCTAACTCCAAGGGGAAAAAACATAACTCAGGGTGGTTCACACATCGATTTTCTTCATATAGGTGAATATAATTTAAAAGCCTGAACTGATCTAAGTAATTCTACTGTATATGGGAAGATCATATTTTAAGCTTGGGATGCTCTTTATCATGGTATATTTTTTCAAAGTGAACTATTTTAAAAATCTGCAACATATGAAATAGCAGTAAGACCTGTGGACAGATTCTGCTACTGCTTCTCAAAAGCAAAAGCACAACATGCTGATTACAAGAGAAATAATTACCAATTAACTTGGGCTACCATTTACTTGTTCACAGGAATGTGAGGAAGGAATGAACTTAATTGTTCTGCTATCAAAGACGACCAAGCCTTATATTTCTATTCTGTACTTTTAGCAAGCAGAATCTTCATACCAGTTGGCATCTTCCACTTTCTACCTGAAGGCTGACCCTGGACACTTACTGCTCTGACAATTCGATAGCCTGCAATTCTCACATTCAGTTTATTCTAGACAGTCAGTACCCATTTGTACCAACATTATCCTTCTAGTGTGCAACACATACTCTCATAACTAGTTCATGCTAGTAACTCTTGCCACAGAAAGGGATACAGAGCAACATCAAGAGCGATAGATTTAAAGAAAGCAGTATGTACATTTTCTTGGCCATACCAGTAAACTCTCTCTGAAAAAGTTAAAAGATGTTTATAAAAAATTCTAAATGGTGGCAACTATATACCATCTGTTTTGTTCTGGTTTAGAAAGGAATTGCATCAATCCATGATGTTCTGTATACCACCTCTCCCTCACAACAGCCACTAAGCAAAACCTAGCAACAAAGTTGTGACTAGACTATCATATTGAAATAATAAAAAAAAAAAAGAGTTTTATTACAAATTACATTTGTAAATTATATTAATAATACATTTCTGGTTTGATACTAATTTTTTATTCTTATTTGAAAAAATGACTTTGCTATGCAGTTTATGAATTCTGAAAATAAATAGTTCTCTGCACATATAATTATCAAACTTGAACTGAGCCTAAGTACAGTTTTTATTTTTCATGTCTTTATTCATTCTTTTCTACATAGTATTTGTGGAATTCAGCATCTGGAACGAGCAGGAAACAGGCTGACTCTCTTTGACTCCCTTTATTTCTGCATAGTGACATTTTCCACTGTGGGCTTTGGGGATGTTACACCCAAGATATGGCCTTCAAAGCTGCTTGTTGTCATTATGATCTGTGTTGCTCTTGTGGTGTTGCCCATACAGGTAAATGTGGATTTTTCTTCTCTTTAGAATTGTTTTTAAAACAAAAGAATAATAACTGAGATAATTTATTGCATATAAAATGTCAGAAAAAACCTCCATCTTCTGTACTTCCTGTTCTCTTTGGTTTTTCTTCCTTTTTCCTTTGTCTGTTCTCCTATAGTCTAGATTTATACTAAAAAACAGAGCACTAATAACAATTTTCAAGTGCTGGTGAAAGCTTTCTGTTCCTGTTGTACCACAGAGCCCTTCCTTCATCCTGAGACACGTGTTTGTTATTAATGGAGCAATTTAAGAAAAAAAAACAACAAACACACCAAAACCCAGTAGCCAGCACTTTCTTTTTGAGTATAGCATTTCCTCTGCAGGCTGTCCCTGTTTCTAATATTGCTTCTCCCCACTTCCTCTCTTACTCTTACAGCTCAGTGCTAACTTGAAAAAAAATCTCATTAAAACTGCAGCTCAAACAAATTGGGTTCACAGCTGTGTATGTCGGTACACACAATACACAGAGTGAACAGTACAGCTAGGAATTTTTGATGCCTACTTAAGTTTAGGCCTTCTAACAGTTTCAACAGGAAAAGGCTGATTCGTGAAAATCCAGGTATTTCAAGGAGTCAATCAGTTTCATTAATTTTGTACCAAACATTTCTCAGCTCTTAGGTGTGCCTTGATGTCAGAAATCCTGAGATTACATGGGAAGCCCTGCCAAGTTAACTGTTCCACACTTGGTGATCACCCAGACCTCGTGCCCCCAAAAGGGGATGTTGGGAGACACTGGGCATGCTTATCAAAGCGTACAGTAGACCTGCTAGACCATGAAGCTCCAGAGTTTCTCACACAGCCATAGTTTCCAGACTCTGCCTCTTTGACAGTGAACAAAAGCTTACAGTGAGCAGGCAACACAGAAATCCTGGGAGGTTGGAAGCTCAAGCTTTCAGCATTCATTTTCTTGAAATTATTTAAACATTTTAATTATACCTGAATATTTAATGTCTGCATACACAGACATATGCACTAACACAGTTATATTCCCACTCAGTGGAAATTTAGTAAAATATATATATTCTATTGAAAACTATTAAAAATATGCTTTAAGAAATTTGGAATTTCCTAGGAAATAGAAATTTCATCTTTCAGGTAGTTCTGATATACACTTCAGTCATAAGAGCTCTGGTTTACTAGTAAATAACCTGGAATCTGCTGTCCTTTCACATAAATTTACCTATTCTTAGCTACTTTATTTTATAGCTTTGTAGTGATAACGGAGCTTCATACGGTTTCCCATACACAGAATATGGGAGGCATTCTCTCCTGAGCTTTTGTGCTGTTATAATAGGAAATCAATTATTCACAATTCAGTCTACCCATCAGTTGAATGTGGGTGAGAAAAAGCAGCTATCACACAGATATATAGTTAAATTGAGCTTAGTATTAAATGCATATTACTTACAAGAAGCTTTGAAATGGTGTTTGTATGTTTTATTATGGATTGTTACAATATCACTGATTGTTACAGTATTCTCTTCAGTTTAAAGGATTCTAAGTAGTAGAGCAAAATTTACTGTTAGCCTGCATATATTGTTCAGCTGGCAAAGGCAAATTTGTGGTATTAATAGATGCTGTGTATTTAAGTTGTATCTAAATTTATAAGACAGGCAAGAGAATATACAGAAGGTCACCTTGAGAACATTATAGAATATCTGAGAAGAGTTATTGCCCAAACTAAGTAAAATGATCCTTCTATCTGAGTATATATACTCACAGTATACACTTAAGCGTGTGAAAATTTAATGTTTCATTTGAGGACAGCATTTATGTCACATGGCATGGGAAAAAGAGAGCTCAGAGGTATAAAATGCATAAAGGAAATAAGGTACAGCCTTCATTCTTTTCTAAAATCTTAAGATTTACAGTAATCTCATGATGTGGTATAGACTGGCTCTACTGCCATGTTTTTCAATCCTCCTGTTATTCATCTCACACACTAGAGAACTTTTTACAAAGAAAAAGGCATCTTTTCATGAGATGAACACTGCAACACTGTGAAGTCATGATACGGCTGTGTTGCACATCTGCTTGTCTATATTTCACTGACAATTGGCATCTCTTGCAGTTTGAACAGCTGGCGTATTTGTGGATGGAGAGACAAAAGTCCGGTGGTAACTACAGTCGACACAGAGCTCAGACGGAAAAACATGTTGTGCTGTGTGTTAGCTCTCTGAAGATTGACTTACTTATGGATTTCTTAAATGAATTCTATGCTCACCCAAGATTGCAGGTACGTACAGTGAAAAAAAAAAAAAAAGAAAATAAACTCAAAACACTGATTTTTTGCAGACAGCCTTCTGAAATGGTCTTTAATTTGTAAAACTGAATTTGGGAATAGCTGACTGAATTTGGAATCTGTAATTGCAATAAGCAGCTGAGATGTATGGAGACATTAATTTTAAATAGACTAAATAGATAGAATTACTGTCTTGTTGAATTATGCCAGTCCTTTTAGAAACAGATATTTCCATGCAAATTCCTTATATTCTACCTGAAAATAGAAAATAAATGAAAACTATTCAAATTATTTTTTCCTGGTTTTTTGGGACTGGATCCCAAAGTCTTCACAAGTCTAAGCATCCTTTGGTTTTCGCTTTTTGCTTTGTTTTTTGCCAGTGTTAGGAAGAATAGAACCTTTTGGTATTGTTGAAATTAAGAAACAAATAGATGTACTTTAAAGGACAAAGACCTTGAAAGATTACACGAGATTTTCTTAGTGTACACACACATATTCCCTAGCTAATGCAAACAGATGTCATATGACTTGTTTTGATAATATAAAAGCTTATTTATATGAGATGGCAATTTAGATTCATTATCATTAGCTTTGCTACAGACCATTTATTTTAGTAAATCTTCTCTATGTCTTTTATGAAGTTACCTGTGGTACAATGCTTCATTAACGAGTGCAAAAAAATCAGAAAAATACAATCCTCAAATTGCTGAGTAGCAATTTGACAAATCCCAAATCCAAAATATTCCCAAAAATAATTATCTAGAAAGAGGCATAAGCAAATGCACAAAGAAATCCAGTTCTTTATAGATGCAAACACAAATCGAAATCCAAAATTTAGTTAACTAGCCTGAAGAATGAGTCAGGCTCTGTGATACACTGGAGACAAAGAAGAAAAGTCCTAATGCTACTTATGTAGCCTAAAAGAGCGTATATACATTCCCTTCACAGTTGAAATGGGAAGCTGGAGGATACAGATTCAATGCACTGGATCCAATGCACTAAGTTTTCTGCAAAAGTCTGCATATTCTAAGGAAGACTTATATGACAAGCCTGTCCTAAGGTCCATGTCTTTTCTCTTACATTCCATTTATGTCTCCTTTTCATATGTACACACATGTATACTTCAGAGCAACCTTACTTCTCCCAACAAGGACTGTCTGTAGCACAGAAAACAGAGTTTGGATCTGCCCGTTAATGTAAAGGAAAAAATTTGGGGGAAGACAATTCCATTTCGATTGCTGAAAACACCCTACCTTTTCCAGCAGAATGACCGAAATGTAAATTGTCTCTAAAAAAATTATGCTCATATGGAAAAAAAAATATTTCTAAACGGACTTTAGTTGCCACCCTGGAGTCTTTTATGAGCAGTTGACAACTGTCCAGCCATTTTTATTCAAGAATTCAATATTTTAAACACTTGTATTCAACTTTTGTCAATGAAATTTGAGAATTTTTAGACATTTTTGACATCCTGAGTCTCTGTTGACTCGTTCTCTAGCAACAATAAATGGTAACATAAAAAAATAACATGACTATTCCCCCTTATGTTTTTGACAGGATTATTATGTCGTTATTTTGTGTCCTACTGAGATGGATGGTCAGGTCCGAAGGGTGTTACAAATCCCAATGTGGTCCCAAAGAGTTATCTATCTGCAAGGCTCAGCATTAAAAGATCAAGACCTGTTGAGAGCTAAGTAGGCAAATATTGACCAATATTGTTTTTTACTTTTGTTTCACTCATACTGTTTGATAAATATGTTTGGCAAACAACAAAAGCTGTGCTAGAAGGAAAGCATGTGTTAGAAAGCAATGCTCTTTGATATAATTTGTTTTTCTTAATATCTGAATTTTTTCAAGGAATGACTACTTGTGAGCTCTTTCATTTGACCAAATTTTTCTTCACTGTCTTTCTGTCTCAGTTTTTAAAGGTATTCAAACAGAGTGCCTGTGATTTCTTCTGAAAAAGCAGCACAGAAAATTCCAAAACTGCCAGTAGTGCTAGAATTGTTTTCTGCTTCTTGAGCAAAGATGGTAAATGTGATGATAGTTCTCCTGACCAACTGAAGGGGAAAAAAATTAAACAAAAATAATTATCACCCTTTGAACCCATTGCACAGTTTTGTTTTCTTCCTAAGTTCAGCCTGGTAGTATAAGCAACTATTCTACTACACCTCCACATACTCTTCTTCCAAGGCCTTCCTCTTACCATGTACTTCCACCACTTCTAAAAAATCCCCTTTGCCACTTAATAGCAAATGACATTAATCAAAACACATAGTTTGTGAAGGAATGCACTGTGGAATTCATATAGGAGGATCATCTCTTTAAACTCTCCAAAGAGAGAGAAAGGTGATTCTTAGCAAATAACTGATTTAACTTCTCTGCATTGCTCTTTATAAGAACTAATTCAGCAACTAATATAGATATCTAAAATTAAGCCAATACCTGTCTGAGTATTTGTGTCATTCAGCCTTCTTTACCCCAGGGGAGTTATTTCCAAGACTCTAATCTGTGCGAAGTCTAGTGAGATCTCAGATTTCTGCCAGTGAAAAAACAACCATTTCTATATCTGTTTAAAAATGGAAAATACGATAAAGCTTTTTTCAAGACTAGGAATTTTCTTTTAGAGAGAGGTTCCTTTTTTTTGCTTTCTTGCTGATTTCAAGAAGGAATTCATGTGGGGATTTAGCTGGCATTTGTTCTACACATTAGGAGAAAAAAAAATTAGGCTGTTCCCTAAAGATAATCTTGAATTTCACTCACAATAACCTGGAGGTAGTCAACTGTGGAACTGTGCTTTTTCCTGCAGAACATGTAATTGAATGTACCTGTCACAGAATAATTTTCAGCCTCTCCTGAGGGAAGAAGCATAGTGGGAATTTAATAGAAAATTTAATATGAAATATAACCCAGTACCTAAGACGTTTGCTGTGTTTCTCTTTAATGAGAACATAACGTCCCAAGGAGATAACAAAGCACATGGTAAACTTCTAATAAATAAAGTAATGGTTACCACCACCAACAGCAAAATAATCAAAAATGTATCATTGTCAAAATTTATACATACACTATACGTGAAATGCAATGTCAAAATAAAATGATAAAGGTCACACCAAAAAGTAAAGGAATACCAAAAGTTGGCTGACTGCATAAGCAGTAAATAGTCAGTTTACTGACGACTGTATTTTTCTTTATATGCCCTAGTATACAATTTGACTTTACAAAAATTATATTCGTTCTTGCTTCCTACCTTTCAGAGCTTCACTTTGCAAAATTCTGGTGTTCTCTGAACAGTGTTCATGTGCCCAGCTTTAACAAAGAAACAGAATGAATTCTGTCATGAGGTATCACACTGATACTTATATCATTCCTCAGCATGACTGGAAACTTTATAGCTACTTCACTATTTGAAACAATACAGTAACTGATTAAAACAGCTCTCATTCTCCATGCAGACTGGCACTAGAAAGTGAATAACACAACCATGCTTGATTTTTTCCCCTACACCTTTCTTCCATGTTCTGTCATGACCTCAAATATTTTTTCTCCCTCCTTCCACTTTCTTTAGTAAACCATCACAAACCTTAATCCTCTTCATGTCCACTTGTTTTCACTACCTTACACTTTTTCTTTCAGAAATTTCTCTTCAATATAGAAAGTCCCCTTTTTTCCTGCCATCCTCAAGCAGTGGAACTATTGGGGGTTTTTGTCTCCAGTTTTCTGGCACATAAAAATGGTGTAATTGATGAAGCTTTTTCAGTTGTTAGGATGTCAATAACACTTCTCTGATAAGGATAATAAAGGAAAATAAAAAATAAGGTTCTAATGAATGTTTTTAACATAGATGGCTATTAGGGTTTCTGTTGTCTAAATTCATGACATTCATAGATGTTAATCTTAGATTATTATCCCTGTCATCTGTAGCTGAAGTGATTCAATAAGTTACAAAAAGCACTGGGGAAAAAGGTGAATATGTTCACATGAGGTTTCATTTCCTTATGAAATCATCTATATATACTGGCAGTCACAGTTACCTCATCAGCTCACATCAAAATCTCATCTAATTTCACTGAATTTTCTTTCCTACAACTTTGTTAAATACCTTATATTCCCAATTCTGCTCCCATGCTTAGCTGAAACTACTTATATAGCTCCCATGATTTCTTCCTAATCAGCGCTCAGAAGTGGCCTCCTGTCTTCACTTCTCCACATCAACTGTATTTGACAATACTATTTTGGACATATGGATTTGCTCTTGTTACAATGATTTGTACATTTCAAGTACTTCAATCTTTTGAGGCTTCCCCTGTTTTCCTACTGCTAGGTGCTTATGGAGAATCTACAATCTCCTGACTTTATCCTTCTCTTCTCTTTATACTTTCTCTGAATGACCTCACACAAAGCACACAAATTTAATCGCTCTTTCTAAAGGCAAAAACTAAAAGGTTGATCAAGCTATCTGACATCTGATATCAATTGATTGTAGATATCAATTCATCAGCCTTAGTTTAGTTGCAGACAGTAGATCTTAATTTTTGCTACCAAAATAAAACCAGTATCCTACTGTGGATCATAAGCTTGGACTTGTAGAGCATCCTATGTAGACTGATCCTGTATCTTCCAAGCGTTTTCTCACACAAGCTCTCATTTTTGCCCCACTTAAAACTATATTTATGTTCTTGACATATATAATCTCAACTCCTTGAACCCTTATTTGAGAACAGCCTGGAAATATTATTTCTGTAGTACATCATTGCAGTCCTTCCCTGGCTTACCCTTCTTTATTGCATCAAAGAGTGACCCCTTATTCTCACTTGGCCTGCAACTCCCAGTTCTTACTGAGAGGTAACCTTATGATAAATCTATAATGCTATTCTCTTTCACATGTACAACAGATTAACATACAGGTCCCATTGTAATTTCACCCCTGCTGTCCCTTCAATCTAGGATGAATCTCTCAAAAACCTCTGTAAAGTAATTCCAGTATTCTCCGTCTCATCCTCTCAATCGGTTCCCTGCTCTGGTATCTAGTGAGATCACTTTCTACCATGATAATTTTTATATTCAGGTGTTGTCACACCATTTCTTCCTGTTTCCCATGTTTGCATATACTTTTGTTGTCCTTTGTTATGTTACTTAGAGCTTATATGTCAAGAACTTTCTTTTTGTTCTGCATTTGTACAGTAACTAAAAGAATGGGTTCTCAGTCTAAGCCTGAGGTCCCAATGACCTAAATTATTACTAACAACCACCAATTCCATTTTCAAGCAGCAGAGAAACCAAAGATTTAGGAATCTTAGGTCCCATTCCATAACTTGTACATATCATACCCTTACACACTCTACAGGCTGGTGCTATTTATTCACCTTTTATACTCATGGCAGATAAATATTTATTTTGCACATTAAGTGTGTTTGAGGCCACTCTGCTTTTATTACTTTGGCACAGCTTCTGCTGGTGCTACCAAGGAAAGAAAGTTTCCCAGAACCTAGTCAAGTAGTATTGGTATACCATGAGTTAGTGTACAAGGTGACTGCTGCTATTCAGATAATGCATGAGAACAGACAGACTAAACTTTCTCCGTATTCTGTTTCTATAAGCATACAACACTAAAAAATGTGAAACACAAGTCCACATAAGTATTTTGTTGGTATCTAACAGGCTTGTCTCCCCTCTTCTAGAATGGATGATGCTGAAGCTTGCTTCATTCTGAGTAGCCGCTGTGAGGTGGACCGGACAGCAGCTGTAAGTTTTGAAGAAATAACTAAGAATGAATGCACATGCTGCTTATACTGTTACTGCCCTTATTCCCTCTCAGGGACTGAGACTTCATCTGTGAACAGAAGATTAAAATTGATTTACAGAGATTTTGCATGTGTGATGAACTTTTTGCCTTGGTTAAGATAATTCAAAGGTTTCTATTGGATTCTATAAGGCCAGGATTTCACAAATTTATGAAACATGATCTAATAGCTCATTTCACATAACATATCTTCATTTCTTTTTTAGAAAATAAATTACATGACCTACCTACCAAAGGTTTTACAACATATTTTAGTTATACATTGAACTATTTAAAAAAAATGTAAGAAATTATACATTTTTACAGGACTTTAAAAAAAATAAAGTGCTGTAAGAATACAGTACTTTCAAAAGAACAATTTTCATGCTGAATAAATAAATTTTTTTGAGTCTTTCCTTTTTAATGGAACAATGGCAGAATACCATATAAGTACTACTGTGGTACCTTACAGATATATTGATACCTGGCCATTAATCACTCCAAAGGGTAGTACTCTGTCAAAGAAGTTTTATTCATAGAATCATAGAATCGCTTTGGTTGGAAAAGACCTTTAAGATCATCGAGTCCAACCGTTAACCTAACCCTGCCATCCCACCACTAAACCATATGCCTAAGCACCTCATCGATCCTTCTTTTAAATACCTCCAAGGATGGGGACTCTACCACTTCCCTGGGCAGCCCATTCCAGAGCCTGACAACCCTTTCAGTGAAGAAGTTTTTCCTAATATCTAACCTAAACCTGCCCTGGCGCAGCTTCAAACCATTCCCCCTCGTCCTATCATCTGTTACCAGGGAGAAGAGGCCGACCCCCTCCTCACTACAGCCTTCTTCAAGTTACCTGGACTAATATCAGTGCTTGCTCTAGATATCCAAGTCAAAGAGTTATACTTATTAAATCAGAAAAGATCAACTGACTGGTATTTCCATTCAGAACTACTGAAGTATTGAAAGTTTACTAACAAAATAAAGGTTTGATTCAACTTTATAATTTAATTTGTGACTAATATCAAATAACCAATATATCTGAGAGTATTGACCATTTCTCATATTAGCCAATTTTAAATATGAAAAATGGCAAGATTCTTTAAATAAGTTACTATGGGTTTGTCCATGCTACTAGTTATTTGCAGTTAGGTAAATTACTGTCCACAAAGGAAGGCTCTTAATACAAGTGTCTACTCAGCATACCTGTGACAAAAAAGAAAAACTCAAATTATTTTAATATGAACTAGAACTCTTCAAACTAATGAAATTACCCACTGATTGCAAATACCTAGTAAAAAAGTCCACTGAGGAAGGATTTATGAACACAACTTTAAATTTGTCACCATCAGCTGCATGCTAAATTATCACACACTTGCTTCTATTCAGTTCGATCTTGAACTCCAAAGGAAAATCAGAATAAGCCTGAATATTCACAAAGTTAAATTAAGATGCTTAAAAATTGCCTAACAAGATCAAACTAGTGTTTATAATCCAGTAATTATGTTTTAAACTGTCTTAATTAAAAAATACTGTTTTGCTGCCACATTATAAGAAATAGCAATTATTTCTCTAAATGTTGAAAATAGATACAGTAAAATATGTGAAAGGAGGGCTTTGCATTATGTATGTAGTATTCCTTAATATATTCTCTATCGTTTGCTTCAATTACTTCATCTGCCACCAAAACTTAGTTGTTTCCATACCTACACATATGGCATATCAGAGAAGGAAGAACAAAAAAAGCAACATAAGCTGCAGCTAGCAAGAAGAAAGGATTATTTCCTTACTAGGCAAGTGAGCCCCCACAAGCAAATTTTATCAAAAATAATTTAATTTTTTGTAGACTATCAGCATGCTGTAAAACTTATTTTATTCAAAGCTAAAGACCCTGTGCTGGACCCATCACTTACAGAAAGCCACTATACTCCCAGAGAAATAAATCTGTGCTTCTGCTATAATCAAACTTATTGAACTAAGAGCTTTGAATTTGATTAATGAGCAATAGACTTCTGAAAACACACTAGTGAAAGCCACTGAATTGGCAGCAGGTAATCCTGGAGTAGTCAAGTAAGGCAAGCACTCAGAGTGTACTGTTTGGAAGTGACAGAGGTGCTAGGGTATTTAAGGATAAGAATACGCTACAGTTCTTGCAAATACCTGGGAAAATACTTCTGTGAGACTGAAAAATATCAAAAAGCCAAACTGCCTTGCCTAAATTAGCCATGAAGTACAGAATAAATCAGCTACAACATCTCATTTCACAAAACATACTTGAGAGTTGTGAAATGGTTAGAAATAAGAAATTCCATAGAAGCAGAGCATGTGTTTTACATTGCACTTAGTAGGTTTATGCAGCTTTAAGGACAGCTGCACCAACACAGGATTCACGTACAGGTAAGCTGCTCATAACCTCTCCAGAATTTATACAAAGAAAGGGCAATTTTCAACTCTGCTGAAGTCTCCTATGGGGCAGACAGTGGACTCTACATGGAGCTCATGGAGCTTCCATCCATTCTGGCCAGCACTATCAAGTTTTGGTTTCAGGCTACAACTCTCTCCAGGCATCCTTTCTGCCCTCAAGGACAGTGTGCCCCAGGAAATACCAAAATGACATCTGGCACTTTCCAGCTTCCAGTACAGGCTATCATCAAATCTAATTATCATTGTATCTGGAGCATACAAACAGGCAAATCTTACCAAAGACACAATCTTGTTACCTTCCTCTGGGACAGAATGCCCTGTTGGGTGACTGGCTGGCTCGTCATCATGGCACAGCATCACAACTGTAGCAGTGACACTTTGAGGGTCAATGTCATCTGAAGTTTTTAAACAAGATGTCACCTCTGCTTTTGTTGTTGTTGCTCAGATTTCCTTTTCACAGGGAATGCAATTATTTATACTGCAAATAGTAAAGAGGACATGTCTTTTCTTTCTTTTTTTTTTTTTTTTTTTTTTTTTTTTTATTTAATATTATTTTACTGCCCTCTAGAGCTCTGGATTGAAATGGATTTAATTTCCTACACTTCCAGATCTAGTCACTAGTAAGAACTTTAGTAATGTGGTACATAAGGTTACAGTTTGTCACTGGGCTGAAGGAAGTTCAGTTGTCACCCCAGTATGAATCTTTATAACTACAGCTTCAGAAGCTGACAAACTGCTAGGAGTGCCTTGGATCCTCTCCTACGTCTGACAGCTGTCAAAATAAAAGTTAACAGATGCATTGAGGAGATTCCTGACCAGAATAGCTGTTGTTACTCATGTGATTTTTTGAAGTCCATGAGGGTTTTTATCTCCCCAGCTACAGTCCTCAGCAGAGGATCTACTCGTTTGCCATGGATACCACTGGCTGTTCATTGCTTGCTATTTTTTTAGTTAATAAGTTTTAGTGCCAAAGTCTGTGTTGCTTCTGATCCATGAATCTCAACTATAGCTCAGAAGAAAAGTACAATAACAGGTGACATGCAGTTACTTCATAAAAATTGTCAGTTGCTTCCTTTTTCACTTGGAGGAGTAAGAACTTCAACAGTCAGACCAAGAATTTGTCAGCTTTCCAAAGTCTCCTAACAGAAAATTTCTCTTCTCTGGCAAGACAAAGCTCTGCCAAATTTTATTCTATCAAATGCTATTTTGACATCTCAGACCAAGATGTAAGCTGCTCATCTGCTATAGCAAGCAGGACAGACATCTGTTTCACTTCTGGAGGATGCAACTCTTAAAGAGAGTTCGAGTTGTACTTAAGTTTGGATGACAATTTTTTATTATTTTTTTTTTTTTATTGGTGGGTATAGAACAGTAGTCTGTGCCACACCGCAAAGTTAGCCAGTGAATTCAGTGGGATGCCTACATCAGATTGCTCCAGGCTGAGGTGCCTGAAAACAGCACATCTGTTGTTTTAACACAAGGACAGGTGGGAAGTCTCTTTTGCATTATCCAATAGATAAGTCATTAACATATGATAGACCATTCCTACTCCTGACAGCTTTGTTCAGATGCTTTCTGAAAATTCAGAGATGGTTAAGTTCAAGATTGCACCTTTTTTTTCCCCTTCCGTTAATCAAAGTGTGTGACACTACTATACTGGTAATCTAAGTTACACTGCCTTAATAGCATCACATTTTTGGATGGATGGATGTATTGCCTAGGAAGATATAACTAATTTATCAAGTTGTGTGTAGCAAGAAGTAAATTAAATTTACAGAACTATTTTAAAATATATATTAAATCAAGGTCTTGCTTTGAGTTCTGATGATGTAAATTACACCCACTTTAAAACCTTTGATACATGAACTTAAATATCACCTTTATGTTAATTACTGTTGGTGTCAGTGGTAATTTTTGATCACTTACTGCAATTCATTGCATGGAAAGTGCACAGAAGAGAATATATTTTTTCCCTCCTCTCCCAAAGAAGCATATATTTTATAAAGTGAATAGAAGCATAATTTAGTTTCAGTCATCTTTGTTTATAGTATGTACATATATACCTCCTTTTTACTTGGGAGAAATGTGAACATTTTTTAAAGCCACTGCAATATAGTATAGAAATTGCTACATAGGTAAAACAGAGAGCCACCAATACGATATGAAGAAATTGAATCTAAGAAATCACTTAAAGTGCCTACCTGTATTTTAATTTCTCTCCCCTGGAGTGCTTCTCCAGAGTGGAATTTAGGAGAGTAACAGCAAAAATCCCATAGAAGCCCAGATAACCAGCTTTTTTACACAACACGTGTATATACCAAGTGAAAAGGGAAAATGAAACAATAATGCAAGGTTATTATATTAACAGTACATACACACTGAGTTGGTCTTATAAAGCTATGTAGGGCATTTAAGTATCCATTTTATATATATTACATATTTGTAGACTGCTTCTTCAAAAAAGAGTTACCAAATGGAAAGCAATACATAGTGTTAAAACGGCAGATGTGCCAAATAATCATCAAGAAATATTAAGGAGTCTTTCCCTTTGCTGTACAATTATCTAAAAATATTTTCTGTTGAAATTCATACTTCTAGTTTTACAACACTCACTTCAATGGGTTTAGGTTTGGGGGTGTGTGTGTCATAAAATTATGTCATTTGAATAATTTTAATAAGCATTCTTCATGTTTATTTTTAACGATTCTTGAAACCTTGTGACAAAACCAGGCTTTTTAGACAAAATAATTAAACAAAAATATAATCTAACATTGAGACAAAAAGAGGAAGGGTAAACTTAGTCTGAAATGTACAATTAAAATTGTATTTACCAGTACAGTTTTGGTTTATCACAGTAAATTTAGTCTTAGCTCGTGTATGTAATAAGAATGAAAAAATAATTCACTTAAATTTCGTTGAATATAAGCTCTATTTCTATGCATGTGGCATACAGGAAACAGCCTTTTCTCACCAATTCTGCAAGCCAGTGTGGTCTGTGAATGATTGCTATGGAAAGGAAGGGAGGAAACTGGTAATGTCAAACCCTGTGTAATGAAGCAACATTATCACTGCAAGGGACTCTGAATGTGTTTCCCTGACATCTTTTGCACAAAAAGATTAGGTAATGTCTTCAACAACACAGGTTTTTCAAATCTGTCCCAAATCCACACCCAAACCTCTTACTCCTCCTGCAGTATTTCTGAATGACCACCATCTATCCCATTACCCAGCCATTTGCTACTTTGAAGGTGTGATGGCATTTCATTCTCTTAAGACAAAACAGCAAAACCCCCTAAATAAATAATAATAAAAAAAAAAACTTGGGGAGGATAAATCACCATATGCTATAGAAAAAGTGAAGAAAGTGACTGCATACAAGGAAAGCTTATAGCAGGGTACATCCAAGTTCTGAAATCTCCCAAATGGGCACAGCAATCCTACATCTATGAAACTGTTAATAAGAAAAATGTGAAATATTGTATTTTACCATCCTCAAGAGGTCTTTCACTTATGACTCCATTCTATTCTTTCTAGTAGAAAAAGTACTTGCTAACATCTCAATTGACATTAAAATATTATGGTTTGAAAATGTCAATTACGCTCTGTTCCAGGCAGAGATTTTCCCGTGTGTTCATGAGTCTGAAAGGTTTTTTTATTGCTGATGCTGCAAACATAATGAATCATTCTTTATATTTTATCTTCTAATACCACCAATTTCATGACTAGGCATGGCATTTCGAGCCAAGTATTGCTTCCCACGTGTAGCTCTCAAATATTCCTTTTCTACTTCTGAAATAAATAAAAACTGATGGCTGAAACACTGAAATTAGCCATATTTCATTAGGTTCTTGTCAGCCCATTCCTCCATCTTATCTTGTTCCATCTGAATGGCAGTCCTGCCCTGAAGTGTTTTGACTGTTCCCTCCAGTTTGGAATTGTCTGCAAACCTGCTGAGCGTGCACTCTTTCACCTCCTCCAAGTGGATAAAGATGTTTAACAGTGTAGACCCCTATGACACTCCATTTGCCCCAGCATTTTACCCATATAGTTTTCTACTCATCCAGACTGTAATGTCTGAGCATGGAAATGAGAATATGGACTGAGACATGGCATTCATGTGCATAGAGGTATAGCTCTCCAGATCATCTTTTTGTTTGAAGATGGGTGAAACTATTAATTTTTCTGCTGTTGTTGGGAGACCTCCCCCAGTCTCTACAAACTTTCAGAGATAAGAAAGCAACAGTACAAGGGCGTTGGCCTGCTCTCTCCGCACCCATCTGATCCTGTGAACTTGTATGGGTTGAGTTGTTTGGAGCAATCTCTGTCTAAAATCATCCACTGCTGGTGATTCTCCTCCTGCTTGAAGCCTGCCTCAAAGCAGAGGCCTGAGACACCTTGTTGGTGAACACTAAGAGCACCTCAGCCTTGTCTGTGTCTGTGGGCTGTCTGTGTATGTATATATATATTTATGTATTTCAATATATGATATACATAATATATAATATTACTTACATAACATGTATGTAAACATCCACACCAGCTGGTGTTATATAGTCTTAAAATGAATTTTCTTCAATGGAGTCAGTCTGGTAAGAGGTTCTTTTTCTAATAGTAACATGATTATTTGTATTTCATTGTCATCACTTCGTACTCTCTGTTCTAGGATCATCAAACCATTTTAAGAGCATGGGCAGTTAAAGACTTTGCTCCAAATTGCCCTTTGTATGTCCAAATACTGAAACCTGAGAATAAATTCCACATCAAGTTTGCAGGTAAGTGTAATATTTCAGCCATTTGAAACACTTGTTAGCATTTGGCAGTTTGTTTCATGAACACACAAGCAAAGTGAGATTCCCCAGGCATATTTACTGGTTAGAAGCAAATTAAGAGTGCAGTATTGTAAAATAACATGGCCTGTATATATCCTATCAATGTCATGATTTATACTAAAGTCTTATTTTTAAGCACTTTTAAGGATTATTTTTCTCTCATGTTACATAATATACAGAGTAGAATTATTTGATATATAACATATTGTTATCCTTAATGTTAGATCCAGGTAGGTTTCCAGCTTGCTATATCCATGTCTTTAAATCATTTCTGTCTACTAAAACATACTGTTACTAAGGGGCATATCTGCTCAGAAAAGGCCAAATTTTATCCAACAAAGAACTAAAACAAAAAAATCTTCCCATTGGACTTTTTTTCTAAGTGGTACAAAAAACATTATTTTAATTACTTCAAAATATTTTGGAGAGAGACATATAATTTAATTCTACATCCAGTAAAATGGGTGTCTTAGAAACTATGTCATAAAATGCAAAATGATGTTAGGAAATCCAAACAAATCCTCTCTTATAAGAAGAGATTACCAGCTTTAATTTGATAAACTGTTTCTCTGCACTATGTAGGTTGGTCTCTCTTTGTCTCTCTATCTATATATACATACATGCATACATATATGTGTACATACAAAACCACATGCATACATATATATGAGCCATATATATGCTTATGTTCAAAAGCATGCAAATACTTTTATAATTAACTCATTTTACCTATCTTCGGGAAAATATCTGCATAAAGTAGAAGGAAAGCTTTCCTTTTCAACTATAATTTTGAAAATTCAATTTTCTTGAAGGATGTTCTAAGGAAGAAAAGATTGCTGATTCATGCAAAATTCAAAAAAATTATGGAAAAATATTAGTCTCCTCCATCATCCCAGAATATGATGAAAAAGTAAATTCTAGTGCAAAACAATTCCAGAGCAACAGTTAAAGCTGTAATTTTAAAAGCTACTGAATTTACCACTAGGTTGGAAAGAAGGAAGAAAGCATTAATAGCAGTTCTGAAGTTATAAAAGTGTAATCTCAAGCTATGAGATGGCACAGTAGGGAATAAGGCTCATGCTGTGGCAAGAATGATGGTGCTTTTTCATCTCCCCCTTAAAACCACACAGCACAAATATAATCTCTTCTCCCTAGCCATGGCCACTTTTCTTTATTGTAGCTGTGTTAATTTTTTGTTCCTAACTGTATTTTTAAGTGAGTTTCATTATTCTTAATGGCTTGTCTCTGTAGGAGCTTATATATGACTAGACTTGCAAAACAGCACTAATTTTTCATATGTGTTCTAAATCTCAGATTGAGAATTCGGACCATATTTTTTTTTAAAAAAGCAAATAACAACAAAAACCTCCAAACCTCTTTTTGTAATATTTCCTTCAACTGAGCTTAACCAATCTGGTATCTTACTGCCTTCCTTTATGTTCTGTAGTTCTTCAAAGGCTTGAGAAGACCTTATATATTCTCGTTAGCCCCCTCTAATATTAATTATAGTAGTACTGTATTGTAAGTCTAATATTTATATTGCACATTACAACCTGAAAGCATTTCACATGGATCATAGGGATCACTGCATCCATCTCCATACACTCTCTCTACACAACAGTAAAAGCAGAGAATTGCAAGCCTTTCTTCAAGATTAGTTTAATCTTACTCATATAAAGCACAGGAAATTGTTAATGCAGTTTTAAATTCAGCAAGGTTATGAACATGGTATAAACATCACCACTGGATGCTTACCTACTGCAAATGGTTAGGCCACTGATAGAGTCATGAGAACAACATTTGTTTGCATACATTTTGCTAAGAGGACTCTACTTTGGTTATTAATCTTATTCAACTCATCTTCATTCTGGAATACGCACCCAGTGGGGGCTGCAGACTACAGCCCTGTCCAGAGTGCTTACAAATAAAATTTGTCATAACCGTATGGAACATTTTTCTAAGTGCTTTTCCTATTATGATTCAGGACTGCTTTATTATTGCCTTAATGCTAAAGCTTCTTTTAAATTTGATATTCCTTTAAAAAATGATTCCTTTCTCCTGGAGGTTTCCCAGAACAACACTGTTCATTTTTATCAACCTGAAATATTCACTAATAGGATTTCTTCATTTTTTTTCTTCTCACATAGGTTTAGAGACTATAACTGTCAAAAAGAAAGTTTCTGAGTTTAGAAAAAATTCCTGAAAGTCCTTCTAATGAGAGTTTCACTTTTAACTACACTGAAAATTTATGAAACAGTAGAACCCCAGGTTCTCAGCAGCTTACATTAGGTTGACCGGTCATCCTAGATTGCATAAGACAGTCCCGAAATTTAGACCTTGACTGCATTTTCCTGTAGAATACCATCCTGGAGACTTTCTGCCTTAGGCTTCTGAAACAGTATATAGGGTAAATAATTGTTATAATTTATTCCCATCTGGTAGGCAAGACTTTTACATTCTTCCTCTCTTTAACGAGAGTACAAGAACTGTTTCTTGTCATCACAGCAAGGGAATGGAGACACTGCACACAGTAATGTGGCCTGTCAGAAAGGCAGGTTTCCAGTCTGTTCACCTGATGCCAGGCACACACCCTCGCATCCTGTGTTTTCTCTGTTATTTTTTTACAGTGCAGCTTAACTACTTTGTTTAAAATGGTAACTTATGCTTATATTAATATTTCTCTGTGCTTGAATATGATTTGTCAGTGGAATCTGAAAAGCGCAGGGCCTAAGTGTTTGTCCCAAACTCCTTTGCAGGGTCAAGGAGTGAACACTCGATACAGTCACTCTAGCATGACAGTTATCAGATGGACAAGGAAACACTGTATCACCATTGTTAACAGACCTGTCTTCAGCTGAAATGTTTTCATTACTCCTTAGTAATTTCCAATATGCAAATGCCTTAACATGCCCAGTTTTTCTTTCAGTAATACTGCATTGTCCTTCACTGGCAGTTACATATGGTTTTCTTAATCTTCCTGCTATTCCTTCAAACACATGGGGCTACAAAAGGCCGTGTACCCTTAATGCATTCATCTGGCCTTGAATTTCAGCACAAACATGAAATAAAGTGAAGATTGTCCACAGCAGAGCAACATATTTATGCAATTCAGAGACTGGAGTAAATTGCATTTTTCTGAGTTGAACTTAGAACTTTTATATATTTGCTAGAAAATAAATTAATTGCCTTTACCTTGAATATTCAGAAATTATGTATAAATGCAATTCCAGGAACTGGGGATACATTTTGACATTTTCTATTTATTCAAAATGCACCAATGAATTAGGACAGATTGGTGAAGTCTGACATTAAACCTTCAGTAGTTTATTCGAAAGGAACATAGTCCAGATTCACTGAAATAGATATTGGAGTCATCTGATGATTAATCTATCCAATTACAGATAACAATAGTCTAGAGATAATGGATGGGCATTTTTCTCTATCAGGTCTGGTAGTGATCATGTTAACTTATCAAACTGACAAAAGTAACATTTCTCAGAATGATTCTGTCAGGTCTAGGACATTTTTTCCACATGGCTGATGCTGCAGGCATAAATCAGTATTTTGAGTATGTTTTATCATCAGGAACATTACAGAATTCATAACTTGCAACACTGAATTACTACATCTATTTCAGACTTGGCAACAAATTTTCTGCCAAAATATATTTTCAACAGAAACTACAGCTTCTGAAAATTCTAAATTGAATATTTCTTTATTATAAATGCAATCAAATCACTTCTGTTTGGTAAACTGATTTGACACATTTAATATTCAAGATAAAGTGCAGTTTCCTCTGCTGCTTCACTGCCACACTGAATGAGTAATTTGCTGATTCTAGTATCCGCTGTCACAGGACCTGACTGATGTCCCAGACCTGATGAGTGGGAGAGCTGTCACCCAGCTTCCTCCCTAGTCACTTTAGAAGAGAAAGCATCAGATAAAGTTCTGTATAACCCCCCCCACAGCTCCACTACAAGAGTTCTAAACATAAATGTAAAACACAGTAACATTACAGGCAAGCTATAATCTGTCAAATAATTGGAGGAAATTATTTCTGACCTGATCTGTGTCTAATACAAGAACTTATCTCCAGCCAAGAGGAGAAACCCACAGTACTCCTCTTCATGTTTCAAGTGGCTACAATATTTCTAATAATGGTAATTAGATCACTGAACAGTCTTTCACCTGGTGTTCTCAAAGTACCTCTGAGAATTCAAAAACTTCAAAACACTTCTGATGTAGGTAGGGTATTATTTTCATATACCCATTTTACAGATGCATAAAAAGTCATGAAGGGCATAAATAGCTCACACAAGGTCAAAGTCTACAACAGGAGTGGAAATAGTCCTACAAGTCTCAGCTGCATGACTCCTGATGTTTTAAAAACACTTGACAACACAATGTGAATCTCTTACACATGTGAGATTAAGACGACTATTGTAGAACAGCAATCTATGTTTGCTGTGTGCAATATTCTCTGTCAACATGCTATTTTAAATAAAATCCATCCAAAATGTCCACCATATGCATTAGAGAGTACAGAACATATGGACTTAAGTCTGAGATATATTTTTAATTTGCATTGTGCCATCCATTATTTATTCATTTTCATTGATATATATTTAGGTCAGCACGTACAATTTGGTTCAAGTACAAGAACTGAAATAACAGATGATAAAATAATTTTCCTGTATATTTTTTATTGCCCCTATTTTCAAAAGTATTAGCTATAATATAAAAACTTTTAAAACAAAAAATAAGAGGAGGTTATTTGGAAAAATCCAATACAAATTAAAAAATATGGAGAATTCTCATTCCTTCAGTATCAGGAAGTCAATATTCACTTTCATAAATCGTTGCCATGTGGCTAGTGGTAATGGAATGCAGATATTCCATCCAAGCAGTAGACTATGCCTTACTCTCTCAAAATCTCTACTTTAAAATTCAAGTAGATTTATTAATGGCACATGGTCAACTAAAAGAACACATTTCTGTCTGAAATATTTCCTGCAGGAAATGTTTAATTGCTGTAACTGAAATATATTTAGGGGACGAAAAACCTCATTTTTTTCTATATTTGACAGTGTCTTTATATAACTAAATTCATTCCTTCCCTATGACATTTGAATAGGCCTTGATCTTCAGAAAATGAGAGGATTAATTTCTCCTTTCAGTAGTCAACGGTTCTGTTACTGAAAAGCCTCTAGAAATTTCAACAAAAAGGAATGGAGAAGGCATACAAAGTATGCCTTCACTTTTTGTTTTCAGTAAGTGGCATGCTTACAGCTATACTATAAATCAAATAAAATTAAATAAAACTAGAAAGTAGCTTAGAGAGGTAAGGTGGTTCTAAGAATTTCAATGATAAATTAGTGCAACTAGAAGTAGAGGTATGTTTTGATCATCAGCTGTACGACTTGTATTATTCTTTCTCATCAGAAGCAAATTCTGTTCCCATTGAAAGTAATATAGATTGAATCAACCACCAAATTCAGAAGAAAAAAAAAAATCACTTAGCATGCAATAAATGCCTTCATGACCTTAGAAAACCTTTATGACTAAGTTTATACACTGACAAAAAGTTTAATTAAAGTTGTAAGTATTGTGTTATTCCTTCTTTTATCTATTTTAATACCGTGACAGGTATATGTGAATGACATTAAAGAGTAATTTCTATTTCCTTTTCATGCCATCACTGGCACTGGAGAGCATTTAACTGTGATGTGAATTTTAAGTACTAGCCATCTAAGTTGAATAATAATTCATACAATACTGAAAGTATGTGCAGAAGATTTAAGCATAAAGCAATGCAGAGGACTAGCTATAATGCCCCTGTTACTTTCTCTTCTCAAATCCCCTCCCCTAAATTCTATTAAAAGACAGAAAAAATAATTATGTCTATAGTACTGTTCAATCACAGCAAGTACTAATGTGCAGACATACCTTCTTGTAAGGACTCTCAAAAACAAAGCACAATTTCGTGATTACAAAAGCCAGACAAGGTCTGGGGTAAAAAGAATGCAAAGTTTTAAAAAAATGGAAAAGAAACTACAATCACACACACACACACACACACACGCACCCCTTAGCTAGATTGAAAGGAGGCAGCAGCTGTTAGCAGTTCCTGGGGGAGATATTAGCCAAATCTACATCACACACTGAAGTGCAGTGCAAAATCCCAGAGCCCCTGCCAAATAACCCATCTGCCAGCCAGCACAGCCTATCTAATTGATTGCAGTACCCTAGGTATGCTATTTCCTGAACACAAAATTACGTCTCTGTACAATGCTTGATGTCTCTGTACCAGTTTATGCAAAACTGCAGGCGGTGCAAAAGATACAAACTAGACTATGTTGCATGGCTTATGCATACAACAAGTGCAGCAAGGTAGTGGAATTGGGATTCACAGAGCCATTGTGTCCTCTCCATGTGTAGCTGCAGGACAGAAAGTATGAACTGGATGCAAAATTAACTCTACTCACGCAATCTGAGAGATAGCATAGATGGGGCAAGTCATACACAGCTGGTCTCCAGGTTCAAGTGGAAGATGAAGATCTGGTTGCAAATTTTGATTGTCCCTATCTTCACCCTTTTCCTAGACAAGGAAAGGAAGCAATAATTCTGTTCAACGGAAAGTATTTTTGTAAAACAATATATTTTTAATGTTTAACTTTATTTTACAATTTAAACAAATCTTTTTTTCTACAGATCATGTTGTGTGTGAAGAGGAATTCAAATATGCTATGCTAGCTCTAAATTGTATATGCCCAGCTACCTCTACATTAATCACACTGCTGGTTCATACATCTAGGGGACAGTAAGTATATACTACCATGAAAAAAGGAAACTTGTAAAAGTTATAGCTAATACTTTTTGGAAAATAGCTTACCCTGAACTCTCAGACAATTAAAGTTTTTTAAAAGAAATTGGAACTTTCTGCACAATAAAAGTGTCAAGATATTTTACTCAAGATATTATACTTTCAAAGAGAAACACCCCTCCCCCATTATTTAACAATTTGTTGCATACTATCGTGCCACTTCCACAATAGAAGATATGAAAAATTTGTATTCCGATTTAGTAGATTTAATCATGGATCTATCACAGAGTTGAACTTAAGAACACCAACAAGACCCAAGAATGCCTATTTTAATATGTTAATTTGAAGGTCTGTTTTTGTACACATATAGAAAGTCCTATTCATTGAGCTCAAAAAATGTTTTTCTGATAACATGTAAAATATTATTTGCTATACAGTGTTTGTACATTAAGAAGCAAGCAAACATACATATGAAGAGACAGATTTTAACATAACAACCACATTGCTGGAAGGGGTACAGAATTACGGTGTCTCTACAGACTGTGTAGTCACAGTAGAACCCCTCTATATTTACCAAAATAATTTTACCACATCTAGTATATCTCTATTATGCTATTTTACACTATATATGTGCCTGCTCACGCAGGCAGGGCATGCAGGCAGGGTGCAGTCCCCCTCCTGGCTCTAAGGGGTAACTCCACTAGTGGTCATCACCCTCCCAGGAGACAACCCGGCCATGGTTTCCACTCACACGAAGAACCATCACCAGAAGGACTGTGGCAACCCACACAAACATATAGCTGTCCAGGTCTTCGACTGTAGGAAGTGCCTGAGCAGCAGAGACAACAGCTGGTTTTGGTGTGACCAGGTGAATGATCTGCTCAACCTCGTGGCAGAGCTGAAAGAGGAAGTGGAAAGGTTAAGGATGATCAGGGAGTGTGAGAGGGAGTTAGACTGGTGGAGCCACACCCTACCACCCCTGAGGCCAAGGCAGCAGATGGAGACTCCACAAGAAGCAGAGGATCCCCTGCCCTCTTGCCACCAAGCAGAAGGAGGGGACCTAAGGGAAGGGGGGTGGGGAATGGAAACAGGTTCATGTTCAGGCAGCAGGTGAATCCCCTCCCGGCCTCCTTCACCTTCCCAGTTGCCCTTACACAGCAGATACAGGGCTCTGACTTGAGGGCCAGGCAAATGAGGATGTGGATGAAGGTCCATCTGGGGGGTTGCCTAGGATGAGTCAGTCAGCCCCACACATTATGACTGCCTCTGTTAAAAAAAGGAGGGTAATTGACATAGGTGATTCCCTTCTGCGGGGAACAGAGGGCCCAATATGCTGACCAGACCAGAAGTCTGCTGTGTCCCTGGGGCCTGGGTTAGAGACTTTACTAAGAAACTACCTGGTCTGGTATGCCCCTCTGATTATCACCCGCTATTGGTTATGCAGTTTGGCAGTGATGAGGTTGCGGAGCGAAGTCCAAAAGGAATCAAAAGGGACATCAGGACACTGGGTCGATTGGTTGAAGAATCAGGAACACAGGTAGTGTTTTCCTCAATCCTGTCAGTGGTAGGGAAGAATACCGAAAGGAACAGGAAAACTCAGCTGATTAACAGGTGTCTCAGAGGCTGGTGCCATTGGTGGCATTTTGGGTTTTTTTATCATGGGGAAGTTTACACGGCACAAGGCCCGCTGGTGACAGATGGAGTTCAGCTATCTCAAATGGGGACAAGGATTCTCATGAGTTGGCGGGGCTCATCAAGAGGGCTTTAAACTAGGTTTGAAGGGGGAAGGAAAGGAGCCTAGGTGTGGCATGCCTTGAGGGTGAAATTGATAGCGCAGCTCAAGTGCATCTACACCAACACACCTAGCATGGGCAACAAACAGGAGGAGCTGGAAGCCATTGTGCAGCAGGATAGCTACCATGTAGTTGCCATCACAGAAACATAGTGGGATGAATCCCATGACTGGAGTGCTGCAACAGAGGGATAAGCTCTTCAGAAGGGATAGGCAAGGAAGGAGAGGCGGTGGGGCAGCTCTGTATGTTAGGGAGTGTTTTGATTGTATAGAACCCAACAACTGTGATGATAAGGTTGAATGTTTACGGATAAGGATGAAGGGGAAGGCCAATGAGGCAGCTATCCTGCTGGAAGTCTGTTATAGACCACCCAACCAGGATGAAGAGGTAGACAAAGCATTCTACAAACGACTGGCAGAAGTCTCACAATCGCTAGCCCTTGTTCATATGGGTGACTTCAACTCACCAGACATCTGCTGGAAATACAACACAGCAGAGAAAAGCCTAGAAGGTTCCTGGAGTGTGGGGGAGATAACTTCCTGACTGGTAAGTGAGCCTACCATGGAAGGTGCCTTGCTTGACCTGCTGTTTACAAACAGAGAAGGACTGGTGGGAGATTTGGTGGTCAGAGGCCGTCTTGGGCTTAGTCACCATGAAATGACAGAGTTCTTGATTCTTGGCAAAGTAAGGAGTGGGGTCAGCAAAATCACTACCATGGACTTACGGAGGGCAGACTTTGGCCTGTTCAGGACACTGATTGAGAGAGTCCCTTGGGAGACAGTTCTGAAGGGCAAAGGGGTCCAGGAAGGCTGGGCATTCTTCAAGAAGGAAGTCTTAAAGGTGCAGCAGCAGGCTGTCCCCATCTGCTGTAAAATGAACCGGTGGGAAGATGACCAGCCTGGCAGAACAGGGAGCTTTTTCTGGGACTCAGGAGAAAAAAAAGAAAAGAGTTTACCACTTTCAGAAGAAGGAGCAGGCAACTCAAGAAGAGTGCAGGGATCTTATTAGGTCATGTAGAGAGAAAATTAGGAAGGCAAAAGCCCAGCTAGAACTCGACTTGGCCACTCTTGTAAGAGATAACAAAAAATGTTTTTGCAAATACATCAACAACAAAAAGAGATCCAAGGAGAATCTCCATCCTTCATTGGATGGGGGGGTGAACATCACCACCAAGGATGAGAAGGATGAGGTGGTTAATGCCTTCTTTGATGCAGTCTTCAATAGTCAGACCAGTTATCTCCAGGGTACTCAGCCCCCTGAACTGCAAGACAGGGATGGAGAGTAGAATAAACTGCCCATAATCCAGGAGGAAGCAGTAACCACCTGCTGCGCCACCTGGACACTCAGTCTATGGGGCTGGATGTGATCCACTGAAAGGTACTGAGGGAGCTGGCAGAGAAGCTTTCCAAGCCACTTTCTACCATTTATCAGCAGTCCTGGTTAACAGGGAAGTTCCCAGACAACTGGAAGCTTGCCAATGTGACACCTATCTACAGGAAGGGCTGGAAGGAGGATCCAAGGAACTAAAGGCCTGTCAGCCTGACCTCGGTACAGGGGAAGATATGGAGTCGTTCATCTTGAGTGTGCTCACCAGGCATATGCAGGACAACCAGGGGATTAGACCCAGCCAGCATAGGTTCATGAAAAGCAGATCCTGCTTGACTAACCTGATCTCCTTCTATGACCAGGTGACCTGCCTAGTGGATGAGGGAAAGGCCATGTATGTTATCTATCTGGATTTTAGTAAAGCCTTTGCACTGTCTCCTACAGCATTCTCCTAGAGAAGATGGTGGTTCATGGCTTAGACAGGTATACTCTTCACTGAGTAAAAAACTGGCTGGATGGCTAAGCACAGAGAGTTGTGGTGAACAGAGTTAAATCCATTTGGTGGCCAGTCACAAGTGGTGTTCCCCAGGGCTCAGTGTTGGGGCCAGTCTTGTTTAAAATCTTTCTCAGTGATCTGGCTGAGGGGATCTAGTGCACCCTCAGTAAGTTTGCAGATGACACCAAACTGGGCAGGAGCGTTGGTCTGCTTGAGGGTAGGGAGGGTCTACAGAGGGACCTGAACAGGCTGGATCAGTGGGCCGAGGCCAATTGTGTGAGGTTCAACAAGGCCAAGTGCCAGGGCCTGCACCTGGGTCACAACAACCCCATGCAACACTACAGGCTTGGGGAAGAGCG